CACACACACACACACACACACACACACACACACACACACACAGAGACAAACAAACAACCACAGACCAGTGGGTAAGGCAAAATTTTGCTCACATTTTTGTATGTAACCACAAAAAACAAATTCACACATTTGTTTTACACCCCCCTCCCCTCCCCTCTCTCTCCCCCTCTCCCTCTCCCTCTCTCCTACAGGTATTAACAAATGCCCTGCAAACAGCAAGTGCAGGAAGTGGACCGAAGTTTACCCCACACCCCAGTCCATGTGTGAGCAAATCTGGTCTAATTCCTACCTTTATACCACTCACTCCAAAACCTCAGGCCGCTGCATGCAGCTCTGGTTCAATGGGTCAAACCCCAACAGGAAGGTAGCTGAGTACTACCTTAACAACACACAGCAACACCAAAGCTTTGCCTTGACGGCGCTACTTCTCCCGGCTTTTGCATCTTTATCTGTAATGATGCACTAAAATTATTTCTTGTATCACCTCAGAAGTAATAAAATTGTTTTCACATGCTCTCCTGCCTCTGAAGATTTCTAGTCTCCTTTTGACTAGTACGTTCAACAACAGTCAATAATAAAGTAGAAGATTTGTTGCTGTTTAATTCTCTACATTTTAATTCAATCATTTATATATTTGTTTCAATTGAATAACCCCTTCACAACATCAACCACCAGTGGGGAAACAACGAAACTGACCCAGGATCTGCATTGAGGGAAAATGTTTCTCCGCACTGGGCCCCAGTGATCACGGCATCACATGACCACTCTGGGCCAGCTAGTGGTTAGTGGGCTCCACTGCTTGGTAATTAAGGAGTTCCAGTCCCATGTGTGTGTGTGTGTGTGTGTGTGTGTGTGTGTGTGTGTGTGTGTGACAGAGAGAGGGACTAAAGGGAGAAAAAGAGAGAAAGACTAAGGGTGTGTTAGTGTCTTTCTTCCTCCCCTTATGTTTAAGTGTGTTTTAGTGTCACATAGTCTCTATATATATGTGTGTGTGTGTGACTGTGAGGGGCATGAGTTTACATATGTGTGCGTCAGTGCCACGTCTCAATGTGCTCTATCAGGCCTTTGAATAAGTCTTGTGATTGGCTACAAGACATGGTCAGAGAGGACCTTAGCTGGTCAAAGATATGTCTGAGATACATATTTATCAACGTTTGTGCACTCTGCACTTCTATAATCAAGATCTGAGATAATTAATCAAGTATAATGAAAAGACATAACAGATGCAGTCAACAGTATCTTTGAAAATGTGGCCTTCCCTTCTGACAAATATCAGTCGTGTCAAAGTTCTGCTCCATTTCTGAGGCTTATAATAACATCCTTCCTGATGATTTAGCCTTTGTAAGGTCAGCTGTGAACCCAAGGCCAGTCTTTCCTGTCTCTTTTCTCTGCATGGACTGTATGCACACAGCTGCTAAACAAAGAGAGGCGTGGATTTGCATGAGACTATCTCGTTGCAGAAGTTTGTTATTGCCGGAGCCATAATTGATCCAACTCAAACATGGGCAGAACTGCTCCAACATTTTCCGTGATGAGAGCATACTGAAACAACATTCATCTGGGTTTAAATATTAGAAGATGTTTCCACAAACAACATCAATTTAACAGAATCTCATTAGTTTACACAATGAGGTTAACATCAGCTTAAACATATTTTCACACTCTGAAGGTTGGTCTTCAGACATGTAAAGATGCTGACTGTAAACGTTACTCATAACAAGAGTAATTTACACACTACATGAACAGCGCAATCGTGTTGATTTGGTCATGGAATGGCAAACATATTGTGCATTTATTTAATATTACATAGGTTTGTAGCTTGCTGGGTGATGGATTGTTATAGCTGATGTGAGGCATCCATGCTAGTTTGCTTTTCAGATACTTACATAATATTTAGCGCATATGTAATAACTGAATATGTAAGATATGACCGAAAAATGTGAATTATCAGATATTAATACTGTTGATGTTGATATGAACAATCGGTGAGAACCAGAGGAAATGGAATTTCTATTTGACATAATGTGCCAAAACTAACATCCTGACTTTATAAAGAAGAAGTAAAGCTGAGCCTGAAAATCTGACTCTGAGATGTCCACACAGAGTTTGGCCTCAAGTGGCCTCAAGTGACTCTCTCACAGGTTATGTATACATAACAACAAGGCCTGTTTTCTGGCCTGACCCCCAGGCACAACTTTTCAAAAGTTGTGTTTTGGGGTTAATAATGAGCAGTAACGCCTCACCGGGATCTCAGCATGGCCACAAACTTTAACTTGTGTTTCACAGTTACAAGACAATTGTGGTAAGATGAGAAAAGCAACTAAATGTACAAAGGGATTTATTTGTAAGATGAATTGTAGTAGTTGTAAAAGTAGTTTTATTGCAATGTCCCATTTTTCGACAGAACTTTCAAATCCCTGCATGCAGACATATTGGTAAGCCACATACTTTTACAGTCTTCTACAGTCAACTCACACACACACAGGCACACACGGGCATACACAGTGTGATGACATAGTCAGAAATAGAATTGGGATGGCTGTCGTCCACGTGGCTATTAATACTCAGCTTTTCTGAGGTCATTGGCAACATGCACACACACACACACACACACACACACACACACACACACAGAAACAGAAACAGAAACACACACACACTACCCTGTCCAACTCTCACTCTCTCTCACCCTCTCTCCTAAATCAACTTTCTCTTGCTTTGTTGCTTTGTATGTGAGTGAGTGTGTGTGTGTGTGTGTGTGTGTGTGTGTGTGTGTGTGTGTGTGTGTCCATACCACATTTTAGGAGTCAGACTTTTTGTGGGCAACTATAAGTAAAATACATAATGACCAAAATCTCTAAATGTTGCATTGGCTGTTTTCTGTGTTTTGCCAGTCATGGCCCCTGAGTGGACAGCTACACCTGTAGGGTGTGTGTGGTCTGGAAAAGAAAAGATTTGTATAACTGGATTGCATTTTGATAAATTACAGCAGTTTGACCTCTTCAGTGGCTGCAGGTCCACTGATATTCTAAGAGGAAAGCCAAACTGAACTTTATTTCCCCTCTTCAGACAAGAAAGAAGTACTTGCATCCTTTAATTAAGTTAACCTAATGATACCACTTTGTAAAAACATTCACGTACAAGTGTAAGGTAGTTAATATGTTACATATGAGTAGAAGTATTATGAGAAAAATAAAGTTAAAGTTTAAAAAATAAAGGTATTCATAATAAGCAATGCCTCCTTTCAAAGTGTTATACTATTATTTATTATACTTAAGTATTATTATTAACATTAATTATTATAGATCCATTAATGTGTATAAAGCATTTCAATGTTGATAGTGGTAAAGGTGACACTTTGTTTGCCATTAACTTCTGTATACACTGTTGGGTAGTTCAGTCGATCAAAAATATTGCATTATATTTAAATTGTTGATCAGATCAATGAAGTGCAGTAATACTTACAATATAGAATGTAGAAGTATAAATCTGCATAAAAGTATCTCATAACTGTAGAGTTGATGAGTAAATGTAGACACTTTCCAACACTGCCCTTCTTCACCAGGTCATTCCTTTACTTCTCTTTCTCCCTTCCCTCCTCTCCATATTCATCCCAGTGTGCCTTTATTCCTCCATCCATCCTTTCCAGAGATATCTGTCAAGCTGGCTAAGACATACACCTAACCGCAAACAAAGCGTGGATGACTTTGCTCATAAAATAAAGTGTCTCAATGTAAATTCGTCAACAGCCTGTTTTATTTTTGAAAATCTTACCGGAAGTGCTATATGTGACGCGGGTCGTCCCCGCTGTTGCTCCCCGGTCTCCAGTGTGGATTTACATACCCTGATTTCCGTGGGACTGGGAAACGAAAGAGGAGGGAGGCGAGTCTTTCAGGAACTGAGGCAACAGCCGCAAACAGTGTAATTTGACAAATGTACAACTTGTAGCCCCTGTCGTCGGGTCTTTCGCGCCTCCCAAAACCTTTTTTTCTCGGACTAACGTTTACGCTACTTTTCCTACTCTTCCTTTGACTCACTGGACTAACGTTTCTAGTCTGGAGAAGAAGGGCTGGGGAGGTTTTTTCGGAGAAGAAGTCTGGAAGCAGCTCGAGCTGAACCCGGTTTTGAAGGGCTGTGGCCATGGCCGGGGGTGGTGGTGGGGTTGTTGGTGGGGTTTCACCGTTGGGGCCCGCACCGCCGACATGGTATCACCGGGACCTGAGTCGAGCCGCGGCCGAGGAGCTGCTGGCCCGGGCCGGGAGAGACGGCAGCTTCCTGGTGCGGGACAGCGAGAGTGTCGCCGGGGCGTACGCTTTGTGTGTACTGTAAGTAACTTTATTCAGAAAAGAGACGCGTGTAGGGACTCTTAACGTCTGTGTGGGAGCCTCCTTTGGCCTCCTGTACCGGGGGGGAAGTTAGCAGCTCTGCCAACGTTCTAGTTTAAAGGTATTTTAAGTTAGCATTCAGCCAAACACATTTGTTTACTTTCTCACTGAAGTCTGGCAAAGGAGAGACTGTCTGTCTGTCTGCCCAGCAGTGATACTCCAGCATGGCACACACTACTTTAGGGCTGGCCCTGTCTGTCTGATGTGGTCTCGCCTGCAGCGCCGTTTTTTTTACAGGGTACTGAAACTGGATGGTGGTTGGAGGTAAATATAAGCTATCGTCTGTAGGGCCTGAAGTTTTAAGTTTTAATTTAAGGGCTCGTGTAAGATCAGTGCAAGCAGTGAAGCAGCTGGCTTCAGCCGAGTAGTTACACATACTATCTTCTCACACAGTGTATTATAAAATGACTATTACCTGTATGTCAGGGTTTTTGTTAAATGAAGTGATGAAACGCCCACCCTCATTTAGGGATATTTTGCCATCAACCAACTCTCATGTTCAGCAAGCAACATACAGAACCAGAGCAGTGGATCGAGCTTCACTACACAGACAACACTGCCACTGTGTACACTTTGACAATGACTAAGGCAAGTCAAATGGACTGTGGAAAAGGGATGTTTAAGTTATAAATGGCCAAAATGACTCGCATAACCCAAGTTAAACAGATGCAAAGACTGCTGACTGACTGACGACTGATGCAGGACATAGAAGCCCGGTGCCATGTGACATGGTGCTAGGACATTGACTCGACCTACATCCCCTATCTGATAGTTCACCCCATGCTGAGTCCATTGTGTGGTTTGTAAACATGCACACCGGCAGCAGTGCACGTCGTATGTCTCAACTACTATAATTTGTAATTGATGACATTGTTACATAGTTCGTTATACTGCAGTCTGACCTCACCGTACAGTAGGATCACTCTCATGTAAACACATTACTCATCTTGCACTAATTAGCCGCTGGTTTATCAGAATAAATGATTGTGCCAAATATCAATTTTTCATCCTTCGCTGGATCCGTAGTAATTCATCAGGTCACTCGGACCAACAACATTCCTCACATCCATGCATCATCCGTTTCCGGATTTACTCCCGCCTCCACCTCTCCCTTCCTCTCCCCTCTCACATCAAGCTTCCTTCTTGATACCTAAAGCTTGTTATGGACCGGCTTTTATCAAAACAATGTGAGAAAACAATGTTACTGCATTTTACCAACAGGTTTAGCTTCTACATACAAAAGACCTAACAGTAAAATAACATGGTAAAAGTATTGCCCCTTCGTCACAGGTCATGTGGACCAGTGTTATTAAATCATTATGGCAGAAACAAGCTGTCTGTCTTCATAAAGGATATCTTTGAGAATACGGATGACTCGGTACCAGCCCCTGAAGCCGTAGAGGAAAAAATGTATTTGACTCATTTTTGTGAACTTCTGCTGATATTACTGAGTAAATATGCATCTCCAGGAAGTACAATCTGAATACCCTGACGTGTGAAAAGCTTTAGTCATGGAGTGTGGCCTTCTGGAGGCTCGGGGCTGATGTCTAGACCAGATCCTCTCAATATTAAACACCATATCTAGGGATGCACAGATCTGACTTTTTTTATTCCTGATGCCAAAATGTTTCCTTTTACCTAGACATGGCTGCTAGACATGGCTTTTTGCTGAGCGTGTCCTCGTGACTTACACACACACACAGATATTTGTACTTCCCTTTTAAAGGATTCGGAGAGACCAGTGTGTTTTCATTCTGCTGCTGTCTGAGAATAGACTGGTGGGACGAGTGTTTGTGCCGGTGACTTTAACAGACGCGGTACCAGCAGTGGCACTGGCTCCTGGGCCGGTGTGTCTTTCGGGCCTTTGCCTTTCACTTCCTCTTAGCATGTAGACTTTTATAGGAAATGACCACTTTGACCAGCTTACTGTGTGTGTGTTCAGTATTTGTGTGTAAGGGAAGTTTATGTATTTATGTTCTACAGAGCAGATTGAATAAAGTGTAGTATGTTCACTGCCACGGTGTGATTACATAGTGAAATACTTAAAAAACAGCCTTCTAGCGAAGGGATTCCTCTAATGATTGCAATGCTGGACATTACTGTAGGTAAGGCCGTATTTTGAATTGAAGCACGCGTCAGTGTGACAACTACACAGATGTTCAAATGTTCTTGAGTGTGAGTGCAGCGCGTCTAAACATGTTGGGGTCCATGCGTGGCCCTCTGTGAGTCTGTGTGTGTTTGAGGCCGAGATGTTCCTGAGAGAGCATTCCTCACCGTGGTCTTGTGAGTGGGTGTATACTGTATATTATTACCTCGTGCAGTTAGTGGGTTGGGAATTTTTTTTATGTATGTTTTTCTTTTTAAATAGACAGTTTCCAGGTACGTGTGTGTGTGTGTGTGTGTATATATATACTCCCATATTTATAGCACTTTTTACAGTTCTTCCTTTCGGTGATTGCTTACATTTTTTGCGTGATCCCACATTAAATGTGAGGAAGATTTGCGATAGTGTAAAAACCTATTGTGATCCAAATGTGGAGATCCTTTTACGCATCCTCATCTTAGCTGCCATAATTCAAAGCTAAATATCCTTCTGGAACTCAACCCTGCTGGTCTTCACCTTTAGTGGCTTTAACTTGGACTCACCTCATCAGTCTACCTTTTTGCAAGGAGTTACATTTCCCTCATGTTTTGTGCTTTTGCTATATTGTTAAGTTTGTGCCGTATGTTGTCCTGCAGGTTACATTTTGAATGATGAGTAGCCTAAGAATTATAAAGTAAATCTCCAACAGGCCAGAGTGGGGAGTCAGTGGGGCAGTCATTATCCTAGAGTGTATTGTTGACAACACATACGCACACATTGTATGCTTTGCATCTGTGTCTATCCCATAATGAACCTCTTCCCCCCCCCCTATAGCTTTGCTGCTACTGAAACAATAGTATTTACTCCACAAAACCTCATCAGCTGCCAACAGGAAAACAAACACTCTACTGTACACTGCCAGGAACTCCTGTGCATAGATTCTGTGCCCCCTGGACCCACAATGCATTGTGTTTTATAATATGACAGGATTAAATGTGTGGGATATGGTTTACAGAGGCCAGAGCGGACAAAAGGAGCAGTTCATCTCACTGACTGTGTTTACTGCCGGCCCTTGAAAGGCAGGAGCAAATATCTATCAAGTGTGTACTGTTAGTGTGAGCAAACTGCTGGAGGCATGATGATATATGGAACTATTATCGGCAACTATCTGATAAATGTGATGTCAGTGTCCCTGATAGTTTTGCTGGCTAAGTCCCAAATCATTGAACTCTGATGCTGTGGGTTCAAATCTGTGCCAGGGCCCTAATTGCATGCCCCCCCCCCCCTCTCTGTGTGTGCTGGCAGATATACCAGAAATAGAAACACACAAATCTGAGCATCTACAGCAGGAATTGATGATAATCAGCCTGTAAAAACACAATTGTCCTCGGAAGGAAACGCAGGGTTATTCCACGTCACTGTGTCGGTCAGAGAAGGCTATGTGAAATATCAGCAATTTAAAAAGTAAAATTAAAAATCTAAAATAAACTGGCCTTGCCTCTCATGAAGTTACTTCAGTAGTACATTTGAATCCAGTTCATGTTCTAGTTGTGGAACACTGACCTGGAAAAACCACTGAGGGGTCAGAGGAAGAAGAATTCCTGTCATGGATTTATCCTTCCCTCAATTTATACAGTGTACACACACACACACACACACACAGACACACACACACACACTCGTAATGTAAATAAGCACAGTAGAAGCGCTGCAGCAGTAAAAGCTTTACTTCAGTGTTTTGCATAGGCTGCCGTGCTTACGCCCACATATCTAAACAGATGCACAACCATAACACACGCATACAGTGTATACACACACACACACACACACACACACACACACACACACACCAACAGACATGAACCACAACATCTGCCTGGCAAATTGAACATTTTGTGTTCCGGGCCACTGAGCAGACGTGACGTGCGGCCATGAAAATCATTAAACTCTCCAGCTCGTGGCTGCAGGCGTTTTTAGTCACGGCTGATAGCAATAGCGATGTCAGAGCATCGAACTGCAATCGGTGAAAAGAAGAAAAAAAAAAAAAGAAGCTTGTTGTTCAATAAAGAACGTAAGTCTGACTCTGACATTTGATACACAGTTGTGGACTGAAAGAAACACCACACATTCAAAAAAGAACTTGGATCATTTTCTTTTGATCTGTATCCTTCCTATCTCACAAATTATAATGTTTTGTTTCTTTATTTTGTACCATCAGTATAACTCTACATAGTTTAAAAGCTAGGCTGATCTGCTGTACTGTATCATGTAAGGATAAAGCCCGCTCACAACTGTGACGGACAGCAACAGGTTGAGGCTCTCTACACCGTTTAAACCCCCTTCACTCTCATACATGCAGACACACACTATTCACTGAGGTCAAGTCTAAGACAGTATGTACGCATGTCAGAGCTTGAGATGTTTTTTTTATTAAACCATAGTCTGAAGGTTGTCTCTTTTTCTCTCACTTCTGTTTTTTATTCACTCCATTTCCTCCAACTTTTTGACCTTCTTCTTCCTCCTCTGGTGTTTCTTTCTCTGTAGGTTTCAGAAGCACGTCCACACATACAGAATCCTCCCAGACGACGAAGGATTTCTCGCTGTACAGGTACAGAAAAGACACACACACACACACACGCTCTCACTCACTCACTCCACTGAGGTCAAGTGTGTGTGCATGTGTGCAGCAAAAACTGTATTTGCTTCAGTAGCAGCTGGCAGGCAGAGATGCTTTTGTTGGCTCTGAGCTCTCTGAGCTTTCACTCTCACACACACACACACACACACACACACACCAACAGCAGCCTCTTTGTGCGTTGTTCCCAACAGCTGTGAAGTCCCCACCAGCCACACACACGCTCTGCCTCACACACACACACACACACACTTCAGACTATCCATGTGGCCACATCATGTATGATTTTGGGGGTCTTAGCTGTGACGTTGAAGATCCTCTAAAAGTCTTAATTTTGCATCCTGGAACTGAGTATGTTTTGGAGCAATGTTTACTGAAACAGTTCTTCCTGGTTTGAATTATATTTAGACCACTGGATCATATTTGCTTACACAACATTAAATGTGGAACAATAGGGGCCCACCAGAGATTTCAATAACATGACCACTTGTAGCCAAGGAGGTTGGATGCCATTGTTCTGTTTGTACCATGTAGAAAATAACAGTCCTTCTCTTCCTCTCTGTCTCTCTTGGCGTGTCCCTCCTCGGATGTCCTCCTCCCTCTCTCCTCTCAGACTTCTCAGGGCGTGCAGCCTAAGCGGTTTAAGACGCTACCAGAGTTGGTGTCGTTGTACCTTGCGCCCAGCCAGGGTCTGGTCACCACCCTGCTTTACGCCGTGGACAGAGAGGAAGCAGCCGTCAGCGACGACAGGGACTACTCAGGTAGCACCATGCAAGCACACACACATTGCATTTCACTTGCACATCATGTTTGTCACATGTTAACTCTCCCTTTCTGTGATTGGTAGATGGGGAGGATGAGAAGCCACCCCTCCCCCCTCGCTCTGCCTCCACCTACACTCCCCCTGGACCAGACACACTGACAGAAAGGTACAACGTTTACATGAGGACACGCTGAGAATCAAATCACAAACCACTTGCTTCTTAACAATATGTTTACCATGTAGTACACACACACACACAGAGGAAGGATGTTGCTTCACTGTGAATGCAATTATGTGAACTCCGCTCACAAAAATAGGAAGCAGTGGTATCAGAGATTTTATGAACAAACAAACCCATGTACACACACACACACAGTCCTCATTCACTTTCACTGTTTCTGCCGCATGACATAAGCGCACATCATGCAAGAAACATTGCTTCATATCAAACACAACATTCGTGCCCTCACTCAGACTACAGTGAAGCGAGTTAAGTGGCTGAATCATTCTGATATTTCAGTTGCAGTTAAAAGTGTTTACGAGACGTAACTAACTAACCACAGGTAGAAGCAGAAAATAGTGTGTTTTAAAGAACTTTGTCACAGTTTCATTTGTAGGTGAAATTAATGAAGCTTCATCCTCCGTCCAGTCACGGTGGTCCTCATTTGCCATGTTGTCATGGAAAGATACGTAAAATGCTTTCCACGTACAATTCATTCAATTCTCCAAAATGAGTGCAAAAGACATCTTAGATCAGAGAGCGTGAAGGAACAAGCCGTCACCTTTTCCATTGCTGGTTTGCAGACGTCGCATGTTAAAAATAAGGTGCAAGAAAATGTATTTAGTTCACTCGGAGACCACAGTCTGGACCATATCAAAGGACGTAAGTCAGCTCTCTGTATAAGAGGAAATGTGTGATTCAAAAAGCCCTGACTGCACAGCGCTCACAGACTCATACACAGATACACAGATATGGCAACTATGAAGTCTATGACAGTTCTCTGTTTTCTGATACAAGGGATGGAATTTACCTGTCATTTTGACACTCATTGCTTTAAGTATCAGCTGAAGGTTTAATGTTTATGTTGTAGTGCTCCAGCTCCTAATGGCCTCAGCACCATCTCCCACGAGTACCTGAAGGGCAGCTATGCTCTGGACCTCGAGGCCGTCAAACAGGGAGCCGGCTCCCTGCCTCACCTCAACAAGACACTAGTGGCCTCCTGCAAACACCTAAATGGGTAAGAAGGACATCCCAGGACATCTGTAGACAACATGTATTCCACCGACACATGTCCACGCATGCCCTACACACAAAGACGTTCTTTATATAGTGTATGTGCTCGTCACGAAATCATAGAAATGTGCAGCCCGCACAGCCGCCTCTTGTTTTGGTCACAGTGGCACATGTTGCACGTTCAAACATTGTGATAAGCCACAGAAAATAGACTTCAACCATAAACAGGCGTGGATTATATACATGTAAGAAATTTAACTCAATCATGTGGTTAATAATCACCTGTAATGTATTGTGCAGCCACACATACATCTAGTAACTATCTGGTTTCCTATAGATGTATCTAAATTATTTAAGGTGTCTCTTTCTGTTTCCCCCAATAGGGAGGTGGATAAGGTTCTGTCAGGTCTGGAGATCTTGTCTAAAGTTTTTGATCAGCAGAGTGCTTTCATGGTCTCCAAGATGATCCAACAGGTAACGCGTCTGTGACTCTTCGTGTATGTTTTTTGTGTGTGTTTGCGCACGCTAAGTTACAATGTCATCCTGCTTCCTCCAACAACTGGGCTTTTGCAGTTTCTAAGCCCTATTCTGTATTCCTTTATACAATATAATACTTATGTTAGTGTGTGTGTAGACCCCCCCTCACCACCAATCCGTGGGCAATACCCCGATTGTTTATTTCAAATATAAGTTCTCTGCATTTTGTATCCAAGCTGTGTGACCTTTATTGACTTCCCCCAGACTGGAACCAAAATGTTCCGCCAACTTCCAGAACAGCCACTTCTCTGTTCTCTCTGTAAATAAAAAAAACATTTGTTTGTAATTCCTGACCGGTATCGCTCACATTAAACGTGATGTGTTTCACACGGGAATGTTGATTCAGCTTCACGGATGATGGAATATGTGACATAATGTCCTTAAGTAACAAGTCAATACTTCTGTTTAAGCCTCGCTAACTAGTAAAGCTGCTTGTACACAGAGCAGCCAATCAGAATTAGTGACAGAGAATCAGAAACATCTTATTGGGTTTAACACATAGCGGGACCTAATATACACACGCATAGAGTAATCACACATACAGTACACACACACACAATGAAGTTGGTGTCATTTCTCTGCAGGGTCTTCTGGGGACAGCTGAGGCCGGTCACACTACAGTCATACATACTGTTCTTGAAATAAAATAAGGAAACACACTTTGTTTGTCGGATATTTGCATGTGGGGATGTACACGGGGTCAGTGCTTACATGAGATGTTTACGATGAGTCATATTTTTATGTCTTTGAGTCATCATCACTGAGGAATGATTGATAGGCCATTGTGCTGCACGTCACTGTGCTGGCATCAGTTCAGTAGTAATCAAGCACACACGTACCTGTCAGTCTATGTTTTAATCTGATTTATACATACACGGGTAGACCGGTTACGCAGCCTAACGAACAACTTCTACGCCACAGCTTGTTGTGTGTTTGACATGCTAGTTTTAGAGTTCTGATAGTTGCAATATTTTCCTCCATCAGTCGGTGAATCAGGGTGGAGACCAGGAGTTGGAGAACCTTGTGACCAAGCTGGCAATTCTCAAAGACCTGCTGTCCTCCATAGAGAAGAAGGTACACACACACACATACACATTCAGTCATGCAATGTGTAATGCTAGGAAAGCCAAATGGAGACGGGTGCCGTGTATGTCATAACATGGAGGTAATTATTGTCAAGCCTAACAGGATGTTTTTTATTAGTCTTTTTACTTTTGACCAGCTCTGCCATGTTAATATTTGACATGACTTCTACTTGGACTTTGTTTGTATGGAGGGGCTTTCGCTGCTTGTGAAGGAAACAGGAAATAGCCTCAATCAGGCTGCATGTCTTGACTCATGTGATGTCACTGACTCCACCTTCTCTGCTCATCTTAGGAAACATGGGAAACTCATTTCACTGTTGACACCAACACTTGAGCTGAAAGCAACACAGTGTCTCTGTTTGTGTCTGTGTGTGTGTTTTCTCTTGTGCTTGTGGTTTATCTTCCTGTCCACTCTTTTAATTGTTCTTGCTCTCCCTTTCTCTCTCTCTCTCTCTCTCTCTCTCTCTCTCTCTCTCTCTCTCTCT